CACTCTAGCATCACAGTGAGTTTCCAGACCTGCAAATTTGAAGCATAAGTTTAAAACAGACAGTAAACGATTGTGATCCTTCAAAGTAAATACAAAATTTATTGCACTTATATAGTGCTTATCTACCTTAGTGGCACACAAAGCACTTTACAATGTTTTCTCATTCACCCATTCAAACACACATTCATACACCAATGACAACAGAGCTGAAGAACGCAATATTTCTTCCACCTGTAGGAAACCATTTGCGTTTTAGATAGCAAGCTTGAGTAAAACATTCAGATTTGTGTTCACATCACCCAGTGTTTTCAAGTCTATATGTGTTGAACTCTGCCTAAGTTGTAGTGTACCAAGGAGCAGAACAACAGACACATTTCAAAGCAACACACAAAGAATCCAGAGATCCTTTGTCAAAGCTTTAAATTTAGTACAACATTTCAGAAGACAGCTAATCCAAAACTGACATGTAAAATGGACAATGTGCATATCAGATGCTTACTACAAAATGACCACTCACGGCCCTCTTGGAGACAACAGGACGTCTCCTGCCTCTCCAAGAATACAACAGTCGTCATAAAGTGTCAATTGTGAGGATAACCACACCTCTGGAGAAGAAGGGATTGCACTCTTCACAGTGACCTCCTGACCTTTCTCTTCCTCCTAACACTTCATATACAGGAATGTATTGAAGTCAGTGCTTTAAATCTGAGGATTGAGGAAATTCAGCATCACTGGAGTGATGATCCCAACATCTGGACTCAATCTGTAATCCAGGTCATCAGGACCAGTATTGAAGAATGCTGAAGTGAAGTGTTTGTGAAGAAGCACATGAGACACAAACACTCCCACTCGCTCTCTGTCACAGGTCATAACCATGAAGACACAGAGAGACTTTTATCCTAAGCATATATACCTCTTAAGTCTTATTTTTCTTACTATTGAATGTATATGCTTGTATCCTTAGTTATATTATAAGATTATCTTATGGATCCTGAAATTCCACAGTTCACATGTTTACATTTTCTTATAATCTCAGAGCCGTATGAGATAAATATATCACGTCTGATATCATTTTAATCATTTGTTTAGTGGGATTTTAGATCTGTGATCATCATATATGACTAAAATTGAAATTATAAGTTTAAGAAATCATGAAAAGTAAGTTCTAAAGGTATCTGGCCTCTGACCTCTCCAGCCCTCGGGATGAATACATCCATCATTGGTTGGATGCTTATTTGAATTTGGCTCCAACGCTTTCTGTAGAAAAGAAAGTCACTGGAATGCATTGTGGGTTTTCTGTACGATTGTATTGGGTGTTGTCGACTTGTGATAGGTTCCTTTTTCTATTTTACTGGGTTTAAACAGGACTTGTTCTATTGTTTCATCAGTGTTACTACTTCCTCTGAAAGAATATCAAATAGAAATGTAAAATTGCTGTCGCTCAAGAACCCTTAAGATCTCAAGATAACAATTATGTTTTTACGCAAATATGTAACAAACGATCAACACAGCACAATAACTTTAAGGACGTGCTGCAGCCATAAAAACGTGAGCTTTGACTATTTCACTCAGAGCAAAACAGCATTAAGTAGCTGCAAGGAAGTGTTGGAACAATACTATATAGAGTGTTATATCGGACTCTGATTTTCTGCCTCAATTTTCCACATTTCTTATAAAACAATTGCAGAGTTACAGTGTGGCTCATGTAGATAATGTTTCCATCTGACATTTACAACTATGCTAAAGACTAAAAACACAGACATGGAACAGATACTTTCTGACCATAACAACAGTTTGCTTTATGATCAGTGAGCTTTGGACTATACTAACAATGTAAACTAAACAAACGTTTGGTTTGGTGCTTTGCTTTTTCTTCTGAGAACTGATGACCGCAACGCCAACAGCTAAGAAAATCAGCAGTGGTGCAAGCATTCTGCTTATTATCGGCAGATTATCTGTAACAAGGACAAAAGAAAGAAACACAGATCTTCAGCTGAGTGGACAATGCATGTGTCTCTATAAAGACGACAGAGAAAGACAGAGAAGATGGCACCAATGAAACCACCGCAGTAGAGTTTCCACTCTGCCAGGAGTCACAGTTTGATTGGAGGATGTGATATTAGTGGAGGATTTAATTGACACTATGCCAGTCTCCTTACCCACTGTGGACGGGGTGGGGGCTGTTGTTGGTGAAATACACACAGTGTCACTGGATTCAACCTCCATCTTTGACGTTTGTGTTCCACTGGATGACGTGCAGTGATTGAATATGAAGCCTATGAAGAAACAAACAGATAATTTATGAACAGATGTACAGAGTGATCATAGTCATCAGTATCATCATTATCAAGTATCTTTTTCTTCATATTCTTGCTCACCACAAACACTACTGACGTGATTCCTGACAGAGCAGACCAGATATCCTGAGATGTTTGCATTCAGAGCGATGCTGTTAGACTCAGTATTTCCAGAGAGGAGTTCGT